CCTGTGGCTGCTGCTGGCGTGCAGCGCCCGGGCGGCGGCGGCGGGCTCGGCCGGCGGCGGCGGGACGGCGACGCTGCTGCTCTCGCCCGCCGCCGGCCCCTCCCGGCCGCAGGATCGGGGCTTCGCGGTGCTGCAGGCGCCGGGGCGCGATGGCCCGGGGCAGGCGCTGGCGGCGGCGGCCGAGGAGCTGCGCAGCAGGAGAAGCGCGCCCGACCCGCAGCAGCAGCCGCAGCCCATGAAGGTGTATGGACAGGTGAGCCGGCGGCCGCCTCTCCCTCCCCGTCGCCCTCGTCCTCCTGGTGGCGCGACCCTCGCGCATCCTCTCCTCCTCCGCCTCGGCCCACTGTTTCTCCGGCGAGTCCCCCCAGGAATTCTGTCTCCCTCCCTTAAATTCTGCAAGACCCTCCCCGATGCCCGTGTACTCGCGCATATTTTTTTAGGAGCATCGTGTTTGCAGAGGGGAGGGGGCGCGCATGGTCGAAAAGTCCGTGCGCTTTCCTCGCCACAGCCTTGCCCCCGCCCGCCCGCCGGGGAGCTTTTGTCGCGGTCTCGCGGGCCGGCTGCGCCGTCGCTGGCCAAGAAATGCGGGCAGCGGCTCGAAAGCGACGTGGGCGTCCTCGCCCCCTGCCGCCATCGGTGCGCGGGGTTGCTCTGGGTCATGGGCGCCCGTCCCCTCGCCCTGCCTTTCCCCCACCCGCTCCTTCCCAGCATCTGCCTTGGCTCGCGCTGAACTAATCTCTCTCCTTGGTTGATTTCGGGGGGGGGGGGGGTTGGATTGCAGCTCAGGTGAGTCACAGGTTCAGCTTCGGGAGCCAGCGGGGTGAACTTGGAAGGGCAGAGCCGGGAGGAATCCGACGGCAGAGGTTTCAGAAGGATCCCTCCGTGTCAGATGTGCGCGCACACGACCAGTGCGATGCGGAGGGAGCACTGCAGTGTTCCAGCGGCCAGGTCGAGCAACCTTGGCCTGCGCTGGTGCCGCCACACCAGTCTTTTCCAAACGCAATGTGCAAATGGCTAGGTTGGCATGCAGATCTGTTTTCCCTCCTCCTGCAAGAAGGGATCGGGATGTGTGCATATTGGGCCGGCGTGGCTAATAAGTTACTAGTCCAGGAACATCACCGCATAGACTTCGTTGGATGCTGCTAACATGTGGGGGAAAAGACTCCCCAGACCAGCTTCTCTGAGGCTTCCATGGCTGCTCACCTGTGGATGAGGGGCAGGTGACTCTTCTTGGGACCACCAGACCTGGTGCTGGTTTACCAAGAACTCCTGTCTTCGACTGTAAATGCAGGTGTAGCATTTGGTATTTCCCTCTGCAAATAGGAAAATGGCAGCAACCTGTGCATAACCGAAGAGACTGGACAAGCACCCTGGGCAGCTGGAACACCCCAGAATCCCCTGCTCATGCGGGCAGGAGTGGCTCTTTTTGGAGAACTGCTTCATTGACCCCCTGCATGCAAATTCCCAGGTCTTGTACGTGCAGGCAGGTTGCCATCCTGCTTGTCTGCAAGCCCGCGATGGCACCAAGCGTCATGCACTGAGTCCTTGGAAGTGCTCTGATCCCTGCTGTGGAATTGATCCAGGTGTGTGAGAGGACTGCACAGTGTTGTTGTGACCTTTGCACTTGTGATCTCTCACATGCATCAGGCTGTGCACCTGAGGAGAGCTGCAGTGTGATTGCCTTAAGCAGGATGGGCAGCTACAGCTGTGGGAGGCAGAGATGGCCTTGAGTGATTGCGATTCTGTGCACTCCCTTTATTTCAGGTGGTTTTTCCCTGGGCTGTGTGGCAAGGAAAGGACTCCTGTCCTGCCCTGCCCTGTCCTGTCCTGGTACAGCCTTTGCCCTTGACTATGCAGCCCACTGGAGCACTCTATCATGTGCAAGGTGTTGGGAAATGGGGGTGGCTGCCAGAAGCTCTTTGGCCATCCTGGCTGCAGGGGCCCTGGCCCTCACGCAGGCCAGCTTAACTCCCAGTGACAGTGGCCAGAGGGGCATATGTTTTATTTGCCTCTGTGTTTGGTGGTGGTTCTTCTAATGCCTAGAGCAAAGTTAACAGAGAGGCTGCTGTTTGTATCATCCTAGTTGGCCAAGGGGAAGGAAAAGGGTGTTGGTTATTCAGAAGTGTTAGGAAGGAGAAACGAATCAGCATTGTGGAAAAATAATTCGTATCCGTGCCGAAATCAAGGAGTTGCTTGTATTTCTAATCAGCCACCATACCCTCTTTCAGAATCGACAACTGCTATTTTTGGGGGAGGGAGGGAGGGAGAGAGAGAAAGGAGTCTTTGCTGTACACCCATGTTATCTGTGCCAGCAGAAAGGTGTTGTGATTTCCACATCATGGTTATTTTGGCTTTTATTTGTTTCAGATGTTTGTATCGCACCCTTTACAGTGTCTCAGGGCAGCTTGTTTCGGATAGACTTGTATCAAATCAATTCAAGTGCCGTATCTTTATTTGTTTAGTCTGTTCTGCCTTTCTGTGTTGCTTCTAAGAGTTGCAAGGTCAGGAGCCATTTTAAAATAACATTGTTATTATATTATTACATCTATACCTTGTTCTTCTTTCCCTTGCAAGGAGCTTAAGGCTGCTGTCAAAGCCTTTCCCCTCTCCATCTTATCTCCACAAAAACAACCCTGTAAGGTAGGCTAGACTGAGAGTCAGTGCCTGGCCTAAAGTCACCCACTGAACTTCCGTGCTGAGTGCGGACTTGAACCTGGATCTCCCAAGTCCCAGTCCAGTGTTCTAATTGCTACAGCAACCTCTAACCACAGAAAACCACAAAGATTGCAGCAGAGTAAAACCACACCCACTGTCTTTAAAAAGTGGAGGAGATCAAAGTGCAAAAGCTAGTGAGGTCAAAGGTCCTGCTGGGACAATTCAGTTTTCTTTCACCATCTAAACCCAAATGAGAGACACTGTGGTTAACAATGTGGAACTGGACCTGAGGAGATCTGGATTCTAGTTCCACTAAGCCCAGCCTACCTCATAGGGTTGTTGTTGTTGTGAGAATAAGACTGAAAGGTACAGGAGGCTTGTGTAAGCTGGGTGGAGTTCCTTGAAAGGGAAACAGAGGGGAGATACACAAATAAGAAATGAAATTCCTTGGAATGTAGTTCCTCAAAAGAATGGGGCCTTCTCACATGTCCCCACCGAAAATGCCTTTGATGGTACTGGGATATGGAGCAGCTTTCTCCTGGGTCTTTGACTGGATAGATAGGGCTTATATGAGGTGGTCATGGGAAGGTGCTCTTTTGACTGCGTCTGCAAGTCATGGCCAATTTTGGGTTTCTTCTGGGCATGAAGGGGGTGAGTGTGCAGCTTCTGCTGTCATTTTATTATGTGAGTATCCCAATCATAAATTACCCATGTGGTGTCTGAATCTAAACGCTCCAAGTTTAGCCTCTTCCTATTTGCATGCTTTTATTTTCTCATGCATCTATTTGTTTGCTACTAGAGTCAGATTGGTTGGTTAGACTGCTTGTGTTTTTGAATTCACAGCACATATTATGAAAGCAGGTTATGCTGGGAACTGTTGTAGGAAGCAAAGATCAACTTTCAGTTGAAAACATTGTTTGCTCTCCCCCTCTGTTCTCTTGGACACTTTGGCCGTTGATTTCATTGATGGGTCTGTCCATTGGAATGTCGAAAGCGTAATCTTAAGCAATGCCTTCATGATTTGGGCTACCTGAAGACCAGGAACAACCACTGCTGCTCTGGCGAGGTGGAAATCCATCCCCTTTGTCCCATCTGCTAGTCTTTGTGGAGGAGCAGTGAGCAAAAGAGCAGACTTGAAATTGCTCTGCCCCCAAACCTGAATAGGGGCGACTCCCTTCCCCTCAGCTGGGAGGCAGATCCAAAGATAAGGAGTCTAACTTGGAAGGCACGTTCCCCTACGAGGTCAGCCCAGTTCGTTGGCCACACCGTCCGACTTACTGGGGGTCCCACAAACCCATCCCATATTTTCAGTTACAGGAAGTCAGCAAAAGCTAGGAGGTGGGAAGCCACAGAAAGCTGGCATTCTGGTTTTTGTTTGGCAGGGGAATTAACTGCCCGGCTCGTGGTTCTTCTGTTGCTTTCTCAGAATGGAAACCAATCCACAATCCCGTTATGCAAGAAGAACGATGAAGCTTATGTTTACAAGAAAGTGTTTTCAGACGGAACATCCCACAGTCAAGTTGCTACTTGTAACAGACAGGGCCCCAAACATAATGTTAAAAAATAAATAAATCCCAGACATGGAGAGGATGGCATCCTTTTAGCAAAAAACCCCCTGACAGCCGCTTCCTACAGCTTGTGTTCTCATTATACAAACTGTGATGCTGTTTTCCTTCCTCCTAGTTATCTAAACTCATGGCTGGCCTGCATAAAAGTCAGCAGAGCTGTGTGTCAACAATGCCACTGTTCTGTCAGCTGTTTGGTTTTCCAAGTGGTTTCGACAGTGTTCTCCTTTCCCAGTTCGGAGGGGAGCATCTTCTGTCTGGTGCACTCTTGGAATACAAAGCATTTTCCAGGCATTAGATGCAGGCACTTGAGAAAGGTTCATGCTAATAATCTATCCCTGTCTTGGCAACGGGATAGATTCTGCAGGATTTCTAGCAGGCAATTGCTCGTAGTCTTACCTGAAAATGCTCAGCCAATATGATCACTCCATCTGCAATCGCTGCAGCTCCATATATTCCCAAGGATGCCTGAACCAGCTTTCTCCGCTGTGACAACCCTTTGTCAATTTCCATTGTTTTTATTAGGGATATCTTGCTTTCTTGGCTATATACGTTTCCTTACTTTCAGGCTGGATTTGATTCAAATCAAATTGGTTTAAACTGATCACAATTTAAGACACTGATAGGTAAGATTAGATTTAAATAAAATTGATTGTGATTTAAATCACTGGTCACTAAGACTAGATTTAAATCATGGTTTTCTACATAACTTGCATGCAAGCCTGTCTTACCCGTAGGTAGAGGAACTTCTCAATATTCCCAAACAGGGTCTCTTTTATGGCCTGCTTCCATTATAGGTTTTCTCCTCCAGGGAAAGAATAATATGATAAACCTCAAGCTACACACAAAAAGATCCAAAGATTTGTGGAGTATTCTACTCTCTTTAATATTTTCTGCTTGCCTCTCCCTCATCACACTTAGCTTCTTTTGCAGATCTATTCCACCCCCAACAACCTTCTCCTATTCATTGATTTGTCTGAAACTTGGCTCTCAAGAGGGAAGGGGTTGATTCTGTGTGCATATATTTGCAAAA